GTGAAACAGCATACAGTTAACCCTTTGATCACCCCTCATGTTAACCTCTTCCTGCCCAGTGTCATTAGTACAGTGACAGTCCTTTTTTTTTTTTTTTTTTTTTTCTTTTCATTGATCACTGTATTGGTATCACTGGGAAGTCGCTGATCGCCGCCATTACTAGTAAAAATAAAATCCCAGTATATATACCGCAATTTGTAAACTCTATAACGCACGTAAACCAATTTACATGTTTTGGGTTTTTTTATTTTACTGCACATGTTTAATAGCAAAAAGTCAAAAATATTGTTTTTTTCCTCAAAATGGTTGTTTTTTTTTTTTTTTATATATATGCAAAAAATAAAAACCGCACAGGTGATCAAATACCACTGAAGGAAAGCTCAATTCGTGGGGGAAAAAAAGGACATACAATTCATTTGGGTGCAGCGTTGCATAACCTAGCAATTGTCAGTTAAAATAAGGCGGCACCGTAACACAAAATATGGCCTAGTCAGGAAGGGGAGTAAATCCTCTGGAGGGCAAGTGGTAAAGTAATTTTATACCCAATGCAGATAACGTGTAAACCCTTTCCAGCATTTGGGGGTATATGACTTTTTGAAATCACTGGATTACTTAGTTTCACTTAGTATCTGTCAAGGGGGACAAGAATTACCAGCAGCTGGTAAATTGGGAATAAATTGGATGTTCCTACCTGAGTGCTGAGAAATCTATACTAGTGTCAATTTCCTAGCAACAGTAGCTAGTGTGAAAATGCAGTGCATGACCCCTCAAAAAGCTGGGTTTACAGCCCTGCTATATTTAGTTTTACAGCAACATGAAGTGTCCACTGGATGATGGCAGATCAGCTGTTTTTCGCATTGATGTACTTATAAGTTGTGACCATAAGGGAGCAAATGTTCTATTCTATGTACAGTTTCTTGGCCATTGAAAATGCTTGGTCTGTTTTTCCCCAGAAAGGTTTACAAATTTTCTAGCATGTTATTGTCTGCTAGAAGGCTATTTGAGTCTTAGGAGAGATCATATCATCCCTGTTAATCTTAACACTCCTGCTGCCTTTAAACTTCTGACCCTAACCACTACTTTTGACCCTAACCACTACTTTTGACCTAAAACAATGGACACATGCTTCTACTCACTCAAATGGTAACTGCCTCCACCTTGTATTCTCCTACATATGCACTCCTTGCAACCTCACCAACTTTCCTTTCTCTGATCACTCCATTATTAGCTTCACTCTCTCCTTGGCTTCCTCCTCCTTGACTTCCAACTACCAAACCATTACCCGTAGAAACCTTTATCTTAACCCTTCTCTTGTCTCTTCTTTTTCAGCAACATATTGTTTCTCTGACAAAATCTCAGCCTTGTCCTGCCCCAACCTGGCCACTTCTGTCTACAATAGTTCATTGTCGTCCACCCTGGACACATTGGCCCCCCCCCCTCACTACACACAGAATCAGGCCACAACCACTACAGCCCTGGCAAACAGACAATACCAGATGCCTCAAAAAACATAGCTGTGCTCTGGAGCGTTTATGGCGTAAGACTAAGGCCCAGGAAGACTTCGACCAATATAAATCTGCCCTTCAAAAATTCAATGCTCGTCTCCACACTGCCAAACCTATTTTATCACTCTCATTAACACCCAAATCTATCTCTACTCCTCAGCTCACCCCATCAGTTTCCTCATGTACAGTCAGGTCCATAAATATTGGGAGATCGACACAATTCTAACATGTTTGGCTCTATACACCACCACAATGGATTTGAAATGAAAGTAACAAGATGTGCTTTAACTGCAGACTGTCAGCTTTAATTTCAGGGTATTTACATCCAAATCAGGTGAAAGGTGTAGGAATTACAACAGTTTGCATATGTGCCTCCCACTTATTAAGGGACCAAAAGTAATGGGACAATTGGCCTCTCAGCTGTTCCATGGCCAGGTGTGTGTTATTTCCTCATTATTCCAATTACAATGAGCAGATAAAAGGTCCAGAGTTCATTTCAAGTGTGCTATTTGCATTTGGAATCTGTTGCTGTCAACTCTCAAGATGAGATCCAAAGAGCTGTCACTATCAGTGAAGCAAGCCATCTTTAGGCTGAAAAAACAAAACAAACCCATCAGAGAGATAGCAAAAACATTAGGCGTGGCCAAAACAACTGTTTGGAACATTCTTAAAAAGAAGGAACGCACCGGTCAGCTGAGCAACACCAAAATACCCGAAAGACCACAGAAAACAACTGTGGTGGATGACCGAAGAATTCTTTCCCTGGTGAAGAAAACACCCTTCACAACAGTTGGCCAGATCAAGAACACTCTCCAGGAGGTAGGTGTATGTGTGTCAAAGTCAACAATCAAGAGAAGACTTCACCAGAGTGAATACAGAGGGTTCACCACAAGATGTAAACCATTGGTGAGCCTCAAAAACAGGAAGGCCAGATTAGAGTTTGCCAAACGACATCTAAAAAAGCCTTCACAGTTCTGGAACAACATCCTATGGACAGATGAGACCAAGATCAACTTGTACCAGAGTGATGAGAAGAGAAGAGTATGGAGAAGGAAAGGAACTGCTCATGATCCTAAGCATACCACCTCATCAGTGAAGCATGGTGGTGGTAGTGTCATGGCGTGGGCATGTATGGCGGCCAATGGAACTGGTTCTCTTGTATTTATTGATGATGTGACTGCTGACAAAAGCAGCAGGATGAATTCTGAAGTGTTTCGGGCAATATTATCTGCTCATATTCAGCCAAATGCTTCAGAACTCATTGGACGCCGCTTCACAGTGCAGATGGACAATGACCCAAAGCATACTGCAAAAGCAACCAAAGAGTTTTTTAAGGGAAAGAAGTGGAATGTTATACAATGGCCAAGTCAATCACCTGACCTGAATCCGATTGAGCATGCATTTCACTTGCTGAAGACAAAACTGAAGGGAAAATGCCCCAAGAACAAGCAGGAACTGAAGACAGTTGCAGTAGAGGCCTGGCAGAGCATCACCAGGGATTAAACCCAGTGTCTGGTGATGTCTATGCGTTCCAGACTTCAGGCTGTAATTGACTGCAAAGGATTTGCAACCAAGTATTAAAAAGTGAAAGTTTGATTTATGATTATTATTCTGTCCCATTACTTTTGGTCCCTTAACAAGTGGGGAGGCACATATGCAAACTGTTGTAATTCCTACATAGTTCACCTGATTTGGATGTAAATACCCTCAAATTAAAGCTGACAGTCTGCAGTTAAAGCACATCTTGTTCGTTTCATTTCAAATCCATTGTGGTGGTGTATAGAGCCAAAAATGTTAGAATTGTGTCCATGTCCCAATATTTATGGACCTGACTGTATCACGTATCACCAATTTACTTCCTAAAACTCAATCTATCCAAAACTGAGCTCATAATATTTCCTCCTCCACGTGCCCCTGATTTCTCGGTCAGGATCAATAGCTCCACTATCAACCCATCCCTGCATGCCAGGGTGCTAGGGGTAACCCTGGATTCTGAACTATCCTTTCAGGCCCACATGCAATCCCTGTCCAAATCATGCCGCCTCAACCTCTGCAACACCTCCAGAATACACCCTTTTTAACCAATGATACCACAAAGCTCCTAATTCACTCCCTGGTAATCTCTCGCCTAGACTACTGCAACTCCCTCCTCATTGGCTTACCTTCACATAGGCTACCCCCCCCTCCAGTCTATCATGAATACCGTTGCCAGGCTCATCCACTTTACCCAACCATTCAGTGTCGGCTATCCCTCCACTGGCTTCCACTCGCCAAGCATCTACCGTATTTTTCGCTCCATAAGACGCGCCTAGGTTTTAGAGGAGAAAAACAAGAAAAATATTCTGAACCAATGGACTGCAGACATAGTACAGGAGATGACCAGAGACTGCGGACACCGTACAGGAGATGACCAGGGACTGCGGCCACAGTACAGGGGATGACCAGGGACTGCGGCCACAGTACAGGGGGGATGACCAGGGACTGCGGCCACAGTACAGGGGATGACCAGGGACTGCGGACCTTTTGGGGAGGGAGGGGGAGCGGGTACCTGAATTTGACAGGTATCCACTCCCACTTCCGCAGAGTTGTCCTTCCTTTTTCCTGCGGCGGCTTCTGTGACAGCCGGGTGCCCCAGAAGACACCGGACCATTCACAAAGCGCAGTGCTTCTCGCACATGTGCAGTGGGCACCCGGCTGTCACTCAAGCCGCTGCAGGAAGACTGCAGTGCTGGAGCGAGGAACAGGTAAGGTCCTGCAGGAGAGAAGAGCGGAGCGGCCAGCCCAATATTCTGACATGGTGGTGCGGCAGAAATACCGGACCGGCCCCTTTACATTCGCTCCATAAGACGCACTGACATCCCCCCCCCCTTTTTTTGGGGGGGAAAAAAGTGCATCTTATGGAGCAAAAAATACGGTACTTACAAAGCCATCCACAACTCTGCCCCCAGCTACATCACCAAGCTGGTCGCAAAATATCAACCAAACCGCTCTCTTTGATCCTCCCAAGACCTTCTGCTCTCTAGTTCCTGTGTCGCCTCCTCCCATGCTCGCTTCCGGGACTTCTCCCGAGCTTCTCCCATCCTATGGAACTCCCTACTCCAATCTGCCTGATTGTCTCCTAATCTATCCATCTTTAGGCGATCCCAGAAAAACCTTTAAAGATAAAGAAGCCTATCCTGCTTCTACCTAGTAAACCGCCATTTATTTCCTCCATCAGCTCATCCCCCACAGCTGTTACCTTTGTATCACTCAACCCTTCCTCCTAGATTGTAAGCTCTAACGAGCAGGGCCCTCTGTTTCCTCTTGTACCAAATTGTATTGTAACTGTAATGTCTGCCTTCATTTTGTAAAGCGCTGCTCAAACTGTTGGTACTATATAAATCCTGTATAATAATAATCTTATAACATCTGTTCTGCTGCAATTTACCATAGCTTGTGAGCCTTTGCTCATATATCAGTGTAAGTAATTAAAATATTGTGTTTGCTTTGATAAAGGTTTTATCTTGCTAAACATAGTGGACGGCAGCTGACCTTGCAGCACCACATGGGTTCTGCAGATCTTAACGCCACTTTTTATGGACCTGTCAAAAAGGTTAGTAGAAAGATTTAAATATAGAGAAAATTGTATCCTAGATGCCCCAAATAGTTAATGTGCATGGATGTTTGCATTTTCTTTGCAGGAAGATGGCTCAGAGGTTGGAGTAGGAGGAGCTCAAGTTACTGGTTCCAACACACGAAAAACACATACTGCAAGTCTCAACCTTCCAGATGACCATATTAATACTCTTCAACAACCGAGAAAAGTACACGTTTGAAGTAAGGAATCAAATTCTTTTTTACTTCCATTGTATTGTTTCTTGTGTTCTGCTTTTCAAATAAGTTTTCTACAAGATGACATTGGATATCTATTTACCACTTGGACATCTCCAAATTTATTTTTTTAGCGTTTCAACTGAAAATTAAAATTGATTTAATTTGAATTTTACTTTTTAACTTTGCATAGGATACCTGCGATTTAATTTGCATAAGTTAAGTAACAATTTTTAGGTAAAATGTTTCTGTATGCTTCACAAACGTAAAAAGAAAAAAAGACCTTTTAAAGCTAGCCATACATGGATCTAAATGATTTATTACATGTACTTATATTGCGCCTTCAATTTACACAGCACTTTACATATATATTATATACATTCACATCAGACCCTGCCCTCAAGGAGCTTGTAATCCTAAAATCCCTAATGCTCATTTATACATTCACATACCAGGGCCAGTTTAGGCTGTCTGCCAAATAACCTACCAGGATTTCTTTTGGAATGTGGTAGGAAACACAGGCAGGCACAAGGAAGCATGCAAACTTTGTGCAGGTAGTGCCATGGTTGAGAGTCAAACTGATGACCCTAGTGCTGCTAGGCGGAAGTGCTAACCACGGCTGGTTCAGAAAGGACTGGCTGAGATTTGCTCCACGTACGGGCAGGCTGATTTGTACCCAAGTCGATCCATCAATCGACTTGGGTACAACCAGCCCGTCCGATTTTTCTACACGCAATTACTGCCGGCGACTAAAGCCGCTAGCAGTAGTCGTGTTTTGCTGGTTGGGATGGCTCCCTGTGCCCGCCCGCCTGACGGCAGAGCACAATAACATTGTGGAAGGATTTGATTGGGGAATAGAGCTGTTAGATTTTCTTTCCTTCAACCAGGGCTGGAAAGAAAGATTAATGATCTATGGCTTGCCTCATGGTTGCTTCCCACCTCTAATCTTTTGTCCTACTTTGTTCAATCAGAACAATCTGATAAGGTTTGAGACACTGCTCAGTCATCTACTTCTATATGTAAACACTTTTTAGGGCAAAGTGAGAGCCTGGAAAATGTTAAAAGGCGCCTTAATGACATGAATGAAACTCATAAATATTTGAATGTTTTATTGTTTAATTCCCAATTCTGTCTAACTGGTCTTTACAGACTGGAATTTGCATTTTTGTATGGTAACTATGTTGGTGTTTAAAGTGATCCTGCTACTTTGTCAATTAAAAGTGACAGGTTCTCTATAAAGCCGACTCAATAATACATTTACATTATTTCCCTAATGGTCCAGTTTTCCTCTGCAGCCACCACCATATACCCAGTGCTTCTAGGTAAAAGGCTAGGTGCAGACTACTACAGCTTCGATTTGAACTGCAATTATGTAGTGTGATTTGTCTGTGTTGTGGATTTGGTTTGCATATTTTATGGGGTCAAAATTGGGTCGCACCAGAGTAGCACAGGACTCTTTTCCAAAATCGTGCATTGCCGAGTTGCATTGATGTAAATGGACACTATTGAAAACAATGTGATTTCCATTGTCACTCAACTCTGTGCAACTTAACTTACATCTAAAACCACATTAGTGTGAACCAGGCCTAAGGGAGCCTGAGACCTTCCTATTGGTCATATCTGGCTGGGCCTGAACAATGTGATATTGCCACTGAACGCTTGATGTCTCATATTTTTTGGCAGTAGAGCATTATGAATATGAGCATAATTGGGTTGGGAAATAGGCTTTAAAGAAACTTTCACTTTGCCCTTAATGGACAAGGTGACAGGATCTATTTAAGTTGGATACTGTTTTTTTTGTAACGTGGAACAGAAAAATAGGGCATATTAATTTGCTGACCTGTTTAAAAGGCTTTTTCATCTAGTTAATTGACTGACATGTTAAATTAAAATCTTCTCGTAGTTTGTGAATGGCTATATTGTATTTCATCACAGAATCCAAATATGTAAATGTCTTTTTCTGCACAGGAAATCCAGCAAGAGACAGATATCCCAGAACGAGAGCTGGTGAGAGCACTTCAGTCTCTTGCCTGTGGAAAGCCTACTCAGAGAGTCCTCACAAAAGAGCCCAAATCAAAAGAAATAGAATGTGGTCACGTGTTCACTGTAAATGATCAATTCACTTCCAAATTGCACAGAGTTAAGATCCAAACAGGTGGGTGAAGCAGGACAAAATAGAGGAAAACTTAAAAGCACTCTTTTGTTTCATCTCATGTAGCAATTGTGGTCATTAGAGAGGGCTTTTATCTTGTCCATCTGACTGCACTTCTGATGGATGTAATAGTACTTTAGAGATCCAAAACTCTGCCGCTGGTTAAAATCCAACTTCCGTCTGTGTGTCCTTCAGTGTCACACAGTTGTTTTGAGTCCCAGCTGACTGCCCTTTTTTTTTTTTTTTTTTTTTTTTTTTTTTTTTTTTTTATTATAAACATTTTAGTTCTTCCAACTTTAGTTGATGTGTTTTTTGTACCTTACTCATTTAGTGGGTGAAAAGCATGGCCTAGTCATTCATTAATATTTCAGTGAAGTTTACTGTATTTGTATTCCTCTTCCTGCCCTAAATTTGTTTTTTTGTTTTTTTTCTTCTTTGTTCTCTTTTTCTGTGATGTGTTTTGGATGTGGTAAGGAATGTTATACATGCAAATTTTTGGCCTTTTAATAAGCCCAAAAAGTTACTGCAGGCTCAGTGCTTTATGGGACATGTAGTCCCATGTTCCATGCATCCCTCATTTACATTGTTCACTGCTGCTTCCCACCCACCATTGACTGGGAGATGTGGGAAGGAGACTGGAACAACTTTTTCATTATTTTAAGGTATTTATGGAGGGATATTACATTTTTTTAAATGGTGGTTATTGATTAGTGGAGGTATGTGCCATAGCAGTTATAAGCATTTGGCTAACTGGAGTTCTGCTTCATAAAGTAAATTAAAAAAACTTCCATTACTTTCCCTGACTGAGCCAAATCTGCCATTTATGTCCTTTCACACATTGCAGCTCACAGTGGGAGGGGTTTACCAACGGAAGGGAGTACTGTAAGTCCAGAAAGCAGTGGGCAGAACTAGGTGTGCCTTGGTGCTGATTGACACGCTACGGGCTTGCAGCTCAGCAAGGACAATGCTGATAGCCATGCTCCCTGCAACATTTTTATAAATTTATGAAACTAAATGGGCTTCTTTCTTTAGTGCATTTCAGTTCAGTTCAGTGAGCTATATTTTAATTTTACATTTTGCAATTTGGTATGTATCACCTATCCAGGGTCTTCTTTAGTACCAGAAACTGCTTTCAAAGAATGTCTTTTCAAACTACTGACATATAATTCAGTAGTATCAGATTAATATTTAAAAGCCTTTGCAGAGGCAGATTTGAGGAATGGGTAGATGCCTTGAGTGAGAAGACCAAATTGCACATACATCATGTGAAACACACATCAAAATGTATATGTATAAAAAAACAGTATACATTTTGGCATTTGTTTCTGTTCTGTTTAGCTCAGTTTCACAGTTTTATGTTTAATTTTGGTTGTCTAAAAGGTTTTCTGGGTATGAAATGACAAAGGATAGCATATGAGAAACCTACTTCTTGCCAGGTGTAAATATATTAGACTCCAGACCTTCATATCATATGATGGTGCTATGGTCACAATATTAAACATAATTATGCAAATCTGTTGAAAACTGGATGTTTATCTGCACTGCACATTTATTTATATGTTTTGAAATTGGTTAGAGAGTGCTTACATGTTCTAAATGGTAATCGGGTCATTTTATTTCTTGCCATTTACCTGAGACTGCTGTATAATCTACTTTTTGCAGTGGCTGCCAAACAAGGTGAATCAGACCCTGAAAGAAAGGAGACCCAGAAGAAGGTTGATGACGACAGAAAGCATGAGATAGAAGCTGCTATAGTTCGGATTATGAAATCTAGAAAGAAAATGCAACACAATGTATTAGTAGCAGAGGTAATGCTGAATAACCTTTTTGGGTTTTTTGTTTGTTTTATATCTAAAAAAGACGGTTTATATATTAAATACAGGTATCACAGCCCCTTGTTCCTTTTACAGAGGAACAGAACCCTAGAAGTTCTGATTAAAAAAAAAAAAAAAAAAAAAAAAAAGCAAAGGACTGGTCACAAGGTTCCTAGCCTCTCTGCCGTTGCATTTCCCCATTACTGATTTGCCTTGCCATGCCTTGTTCTATACGGTGTCTCTGTATGGAGGCAGCCTTCTTGATAGAGGTAGGACTTCCTCATGTCAGAGCTTCCAGCAAGAAAAACAGTGAGCAGCATGAAATTGGCATCAGTAAGTCTCACCCCCAGTCTCGTGAGACCGCAGACTGTAGATATACAACTATGAGACTGTAGGCACGCTCGCATACACTGCATTTTTCCCCATAAAGAATTCAGGAAGTATGTTAAATTTTCAGGGTACTGCTTAGGCACCATTAACACTTCTTGATGTTTCCTATAACATAGTCTTCATTTGGGTCCACTTTTAGAACCATAGCATATTTCTGCTACATGCTTAACCATTTGCCAACCGTGCTATAGCCGAATGACGGCTACAGCGTGGTTGTGCAGTTCTGGGAGGGCGTCATATGACGTCCTCCCAGACCACACTCAGCCGGCGATCTCCGTGACACAGCTGATAATGTGATGAGGTAAAAGACCAATCACAGCGGCCTTTTACCATGTGATGCCCAGCAGTTGTGCCAGTCAGTGCCACCTATCAGTTCCCATCAGTGCTGCATATCAGTGCCTCCTCATCAATGCCCACCAGTGCCACCTCATCAGTGCTGCCTATCCATGCCACCCCCATCAGTGTTACCCATTAGTGCTGCGTATCCATGCAGCCTCATCAACACATATCAGTGAAGGAGAAAAATTACCTGTTTTCAAAATTTTAGAATAGAAACAAAGAAAAGCTTTTTTTTTTTGGTTTTTTGTTTATAGTACAAAAAATAAAACGCCCAGTGGCGATATTAAATATACCCAAAAGAAAGCTCTATTTGTGTGAAACAAAGATAAATATTTTATATGGGTACAGTGTTGCATGACCGCGTGATTGCCATTCAAAGTGAGTGCTGAAAGCTGAAAATTTGCCTAGGCACGAAGGGGGTAAAGTGCCCTGCAACCAGTGGTTAAAAGATAAGTTCACCTTTTTGCTAAAAAAATAATAAATGATATAAAGGGGGCACCACTAAGTGCAGTATTAACCTCTTCACGCTGGCCGCACACAAATGTGCAGCCTCCCAGCGTCTGGGCCTAGATGCCGAGCGGCCACACATTTGCGTGCAATTAACAAAAAACGTGCTGAGAGCGTGCGCGCTCCCAGCACACATGTCCGGTACTCACGGAAAGGTCCCGGTCTGCTCTTTCGATCAGGACCTTTCCTGATCATGTGACCGCCGTGATGATGTGATCCCTAAACCCTGTCCCGGCTTCTGAAACTCTTAAAGGGCCGGGAGGTGCCGGCGGGAAGGGGTTAAAAACAAGTTTAATAAACCATCAGTATTGCACTCTGTTCCAAAGCATAAAGCACTTGTAAGCATAATTAGCCTCAGCATTAGTATCAGGACCACTCCAAAGGGGTACATCAGCAGCAGTGTAGAGGATCAGCCACACTTCACTGGGAAACGCTGATAACCAGGATTGACGTGGAACTGGAAGTGACATCTGAAACCACCTTGGACTGCACAGCCAGAAGTGAAGTCAGAGGAGGGTGGATCCGTAGCCTTGGCAATGCGTTTCAGCACACCAGTCGGCTCCTTTTGTAAAGCCTGAGGTTTGACTGTATGGATTATATTATGATATGGACTTATATCTGGCTGTTTTATTGCTATTTTAATACCCATTCTATTTTAAGACCAAAGTTTGCGCTATATATCTTGTATATAAAAAAATAATAAATGCACATTTTTTTGCAGGTAAAAAAAAATGTGCATTATTTTTTTGTTGCAGGAGCCTGTAAGCCATTGCCCCAGTGATTTAGCAGATGCAGGTCTCCTGCAGACCTGTCAGTATGCCTGCTTACCCATACGGGATGTATGAGCAAGCAGATATACTGACAAGAAAAAAATCAATGAACTACCATGATGCTCCACAGCACCTTGGTAGTTCATTGAGAACTACAAGCCAACATTTTTTCAGCTAGTGGGAGAAAATCCCCTGCTGGCTGTCGGTGGGAGGGTGGTGGGAAGCGGGAGCCAGTCTATTCATAACATGTTACACCCTGAATAAGAATGTAACTTATTAAGAAAGGTGAACTTATCCTTTAAACTTTTCAACTATATTCATGGGGACGATCAGCCTTGAATGTAGTGTTTCTGTGTCTAGGGCCAATCACCTGTCCCTAGCCACAGGTAATCCATGTGTGATTGCATGTGGACAGAATCAGCCACTGTCAGCCTGCCATTCCCCTGTATGGACATCCCAGCTACAGCGATTTGTGTTTACCTTTTGGTTCCTGCCATATAAATAGCTGATTCTTGCAGCAGGGATCTGCTGTCCGTTTCTAATTGTCTGTGTGAAGCCCTATTCATTACCCATCCTCTTCTGAATGTTATACCTAAACAAAGTGGAACCAAAAATGTATGAGAATAATAATAAGAAAAAAAAAAGGTTATACTCCCTAGATGGTAGTGGTTTCTTATAACTGACATTTTGATACATGTGGTCCCAGCATATTTCAAGGCACTGTATGTTGGACTAGTGTGATATGCGTGAAAACTTTATTTGCAAGTCTCGCATTACATATTAATATATTGCGGAAAAGGCACAGTTCAAACCAGTGGTAACGAAACTGCTAATAGAAACCAGATCTCAGCTATGAATGACCATCCATAGTATTTATGGACATTTATTGCATGCATGTATGTGGACGAATTTCTTGGCACCCTTCCACGAAAAAGAACCACCAAGAACGTTTTGTAAAATATCGTAAAACTCCCCAAAATATTTGTTTTCAATAATTAATAAGACTTTTTTAATTCAACTGTAAATGTTAAATACAAAATGGCTTGGACAAAAATGATGAAACAAATAACCTAATATTTTTTTGGCAAAGCTTTTAAAGGCAATCACTGCACACAAGTGATTTCTGAAGCTTTTAATGAGACTTTTCTTTGCTGTTCTTTGGTTCCCTTAGCTGTGTTTTGGGTCATTATCCTGTTGGAGGATCCATGACCAGCATCTGACACAAAGCTTTTTTGACACTGGGCAGTAAATTTTGCCCCAGAATTCATTGATGGTCTTGGAATCTTTTTGTGCCTTTTACCCTGTGCTAGATGCAGCAAAGAAGCTGTAAAGCTTAACTAAGCCTCACTCGTGTTTCACAGTAGATGAAACATTCTTTTATTTGAAAGCCTTATTTTTTTTTTTTTTCGTCTGTGAATTTCTAGCTGATGTGACATGTCAAAAAGCTTGAGTATTGTCTCCCCATGAAGCATTGTGGTTTGTCAGTTTTCATTTTACCAAATTCCACTCTGGCTTTTGTCTTTTTCTTCCAGCAGTGGAGTCCCCTGGGGTGTTCTTCCTTTGAGTTCACTCATGGTGCCATCAAACACTGTTGTACCTTGCCTTTTGGAGTTCATCTTGTATCTCCTCTCTTCTGTTCTTCTCTCAGATAACTATCGCTTTTGCTTTTTATGATCCATGCTGGGTGTGGTGTACACAATACAGACAGCAGAATTGACTACTTTTTTTAATTAAATAGCTGAATTTTTACAAGATTTAAGACTTGGTAAAAAGTACAGAAAACCGTTTAGAAACGTCACTAAGACCCACTTATTTATAATCTCTGTGGGTATCACCAAGTCTGTCCAAGCGATTTTAGAATGTGTGTAGAAGAACAATTTCTCTTTTCATACTTTCTTTGCTTTCCACTGACATAACAAAGACATACAGGTATATATGGGACAATTGCTGAAAAAATGCTTCATTCCTCCTGAAAATTCATGGAATTAAAAGCATTGAATGTCATATGTTTACTTCCTAAAAGAAGCAAAAACTGGGTAATGTGTGTGATACTTTGAATTAAGTTTCAATGGTAGTTAATTTTTCAGGATACATTTACAGGAGATCTAATTTCTTCTTTCAATCCAAGCAGCTGATCTCCTGAAAGTCTTTCCTGATCAGGGAACTATTAGTGCAGATAAGATATCATGTACATTACTCCCCTTTACTGTTGCATATTCTTGTACTAGTAACAAAGTAAATGACTTCTCAATTATGGTTTGATTTTGTTTTTTTTGTCAGGGTTGTGTAAGCTAATTTTTTTTATTTATTTTGTTTTAGGTAACACAGCAACTGAAGGCCAGATTCCTTCCAAGCCCAGTTGTTATTAAAAAGCGCATTGAAGGACTTATTGAACGAGAATATTTAGCACGAACACCTGAAGATCGCAAAGTGTACACTTACGTAGCATAAAAAGTGCGTTTTGCAAATGAAATTACTCTTGGACTTCATACCCCTTCGCATGGACTGGGAAGTTCTTTTAAATCATTACACGGTTACGAACGCCATCTATTAAATTACAGTACGTGTTCTAGAACATGCACAACACGCCTACAAGAATTTTCAACATCCAATTTCCCTCGGGGGGCCTTTGTAGATATCATTTATACAGTTCCTTTGTGGAATTGTGAACACCCAGAATTTTCTTTCTCTCAATACTGTATGGAAAGAATGGGAACACCAAAAAAAGAGAAAATAATAAAAAACTAATTTAGGAAATTCAAATCACATTAATAAAAGTTTGGGGATTTTATTCCCTCCCCCCAAAAGTTAGTGGTGGTGTAAGTCTGTTTATGTTCTTTTTTTATTTTTTTTGTTTTTTTGTTCAAGGATAACTTTTCTTTTTTTCTTTAAATGCGATTTTCTCATGGGTTGCAGGTCTGCTTAAAGGTGTATGTATATGTATGTATGTGTGTGTGTTTTTATGGGAATGCAAATAATAATTTACTTACTGTCCTGTTTGATCCTTGCAGATAAAACTGGGTAAGCTTGATGCATGGTTGCCTTTGACCTGAAGAAACAGGATATATTAACATATTTTCACTCCTAAGTGTAAGCAGGTTATGGAAACAGAGCCACTTGACTTCTTCTGTTTGTATGCTCTTATATTTTGTGCTGTTTGCAAAGGGCATGGTCTTTCAGTGCTACACTGTGCTTGAAGACCAATGGTTTCAGTACTAGGTGGACAAAATGGGTGGACAAAATGGTTGTCTATATTGTGATCCTGTGTCAAGTCCTCCTCACTTGAGTTGACCTGGTTCATTTGTTATCCATATTTAAGCAAATACGATATTGTAAGACAGAGTAGTAAAATAATCCGCTTTGTAAATTACCTTCTTATATTATGAAATTTTTTTTAATTCCCCAGTAGGAATTGTAAAGTTTGCTGGCTGCCACATTTCCTGTCTGTTGCAGTCTTGTATTTGCTGCTGGTGATGGAGCAATCACAGAGATGCAGTGGGAGTTTTCTGCAGATAACTATAAACTGGTTCTCAAACCAGCTGAGCATGTGTTATTTCCTCATAGGAAGTGCTAGCTGTTGATTTAGTCTGCTTGTGTGTAACAGGAATAAACCAAATATGTACTGTTGAAGAGGCTTGAATATGTAGAATCTGTGCTATGGAGGAAAAACCTATTCACTCAAAATGAGGGCACTCTGAAGTAGTAGTTATCTCCCACTAGCTATTTTACTAGGAATTATATGAAAACTCAGCTTGGCAAAATTCTATTGGTTGTGTAAAGAAAACCTAACTGCCATTTTCAAAGTTAAAAAATAAAATTGGCAGTAGATACTGCAAATGCCTGAAAAGACTCTTCAGAGTTGCTCCTCTTGTTTCACCTTATTGCTTAGGGCTCAAACCTGCAGCTGAACTCCCCCACCCTCTAGCCAACCAGTTAGCTCTATATATGCACGACATGCCAATTAACCACTAGGAATCCTTGATGGGGTGACAGAAAGACTTCCAAAAAATTCATTGCGGTGGGCTCAAAAAATCAGTATTTCATCATAATGGCCTCTAGATGTACCATCCCATTTTTCTTCCATGTATAACAAACCACCCTACCAAGAGTGGAGATAAAGTGTGACTTTAACTGTACCTCTAAGGAGGATTATTTCCTTACATAACACATAAACGGTTTTAAAAAGTTATGAAAATTATTTAAGAAACGCATCAATGTCATAACTTGTCAACTGAACTTTATACATAACAATACCTCCAAATTCTATAAGGTTACATGCTAGGGCTTGGAATATACGTACTTTGTGATCAATAGTTTCTTCAGGACATGCGCTGAAGCATGGGCTTGTTCACCATTTTGAAATCACAAAGTATATCTATGAACAATCCTATTGCTTAATTTGACATATTTTACATTGTACATTACCACAAATAATGAAAAACTGGTGCTGGGGGTGGTTTGTTATATATTATATAAAAGAAGATGGTTTCCTGGCTAAGAAAGAAAGTTGCAAGCAAACTCCTTTGTAGTGTCTGCCCAAAAGAAGTATTGAGGCAGCCATTACTGACCTTATATAAGTATTGGTTGCCTTGTAATCATTCTAAGCCTTTGGCTTCAGCACTAACCTGGGGTATGCATGCAGACAGTGAAGTTAGAAACATTTAATTAGCATTTTTCCCCAATGGACATATGAAACCATTAGTTCAAGGACAACTAGGCAGCTAGCATTTCAGATGTTGAGGACAGTAGTGGCAGGTTTTGCATCTCTCAGCGAAAAGTTTTTTTAAAATTACTGACAGGCTTGCATTTTAGGAAAATGCACTGCATATAGAAATATGTAGGCTGCCATTCCTGATGAAAATACTAGTTTCCTGGTTGTCGTACTGAATCTTTGTTTTTTAGTACATTCTGAGATACTCACCTGGAACTTGTGCAAATCAAACATTTTAATTTCAGTCAGACCCACTCTGTAGTATATTGGCTCCAGGCAACTGGCATTTTCAGGACATCCAAAATTGCACTCCTACAAATTTCACCTCAATATAGGTATCATTTATTGTGGAACAAAATGGTGGTAGGACTGTTCACTGTTGGGACATCTTACTAATGGGGCTATGAAAAGATAAGTGACTAAATGATTCATCCGGCTGGTGTATATCCAATTAACGTTTTTAGTCTACTTGGCCTGTAACTGTTTATTGGACATTCATATTTATTAGTCATTCTGTACGTTAATTTGTTTATACTTCAGAAAAGTCTGTGAACTCCTGAAAATGTAAGTAATCGCCATGAAAAATGCAGATACGTCTTGAGAAAGCACTTAACATGCTTTGCTGTGCTGTTTATACTACTGTGTTCACTTCCCGCAATTATCCGCAGAAACCTTCACAACTTGAACCCTGCTCCTTTCCGCTCTGCAACTGACCAACTCTGACAGAATCTCTCCCCTGTCCTGCCCTGACCTGGCCACTGCTGTCTATAACAGTTGCTTTCATCCACATTAGACTCACTTGCTCCTCTAACAACATGAAGCATCAGGCCCCGACTATTACAACCTTGGCAGATTGACGACACCAGAAATCTTAAACGGCATAGTGTTGCGCTGGAGTGATTGTGGCGTAAAAAAACAAATCTCAACAAGCATTCACCCTATATAAATCTGCTTTCTTAACATACAATTCCTCCCTTCATGCTGCCAAACAAGCCTACTTTGTTACTCTTATTAATACCTTGTCATCCAGTCCTCATCTCTTCTCTACTTTTAACTCTCTACTTTCTCCACCTCCACCCAGTACCTCACTCACTGCTCACGAGATTGCAAATCATTTCAAAAACAAGATTGGCACAATTCGTAGGGGCATCGCCACTGCACAGACATCCATCCCACTTAGCATACCTTATACTAAATCTCCCTCAACACTTTCCTCTTTTGACCTTGCTACTACCGAAGAGGTCACTAAGGTTTTCTCAGAAGCCCGTCTCACTACCTGCCCCCTGGATCCTGTCCCCTCACAACTACTACGGTCACCCTCTTCTTCCATCCTATGCTCCCTCACTCACATCTTCACTCTTTCCCCCTCTACTGGTGCCTTCCCCTCCCCTCTAACGCATGCGCACATCACTCCCATACTTAGCCCTCCCTGGACCCCACCAACCTGAACAACTTAAGACCCGTCTCCCTGCTGCCATTTACCTCTAAACTCCTAGATCGCTTAGTCTACAATCGCCTGAGCTCCCACCTCACCCGACCACAACCTTCTTGACCCTTTACAGTCTGGCTTTCGCTCACTACACTCCTCTGAAACTGCCCTACTAAAACTCACTAATCTACTAACAGCTAAAACCAATGGCCACTACTCCATACTCTTACTAATTAACCTCTATGTGGCTTTTGATACGGTTGACCATCCCCTCCTCCTCAAAAAACTCCACTCTCGGTCTCAGAGACTCTGCTCTCTCCTGGTTCTTCTCCTACCTATTGCAGCGCTCTTTCAGCGTAACCTATAACGCTGTCTCCTCCTCTTCACTCCCTCTTTCTGTAGGGGTCCCTCAAGTTTCTGTCCTTGGAACCCTTCTCTTCTCCATCTACACCTCCTTCCTTGGTCACTTGATAAACTTCCATGGCTTTAAGTACCATCTCTATGCTGATGACACACAAATCCTATCTTTCTACCCCTCACCTCACCCCTTCAGTCTCCTCTCACATCACTAACCTACTAAGTGACATATCAGCATAGATGTCGCTCCACTTCCTCAAACTCAATCTTTCCAAAACTGAGCTCTTAGTATTCCCTCCAGCCCGTGCCCCCTCCCCTAACTTCTCCATCAAGATCAATAACACAATCATCAGTCCCTCCCCTCATGTCTGGGTACTAGGTGAAATCCTAGACTCCCATCTGTTCTTTCAGCTCCAAATCCAATCACTGTCCAAATCGTGTAGACTTCACCTCCGCAACATCTCCAAGATACGCCCGTTCCTAACCTCGGAAACCACTAAGCAACTTATTCACTCCCTTGTTATATCTCGTCTTAACTATTGTAACTCCCTCCTCATTGGCCTACCTAATCGCAGGCTATCCCCTCTTCAGTCTATCATGAATGCTGCTGCCAGACTCATCCACCTTACTAACTGTTCTGTATCTGCCACCCCTCTCTGCCAATCCCTCCACTGGCTTCTCGTTGGCCAACGGATAAAATTCAAAACACTAACAATAATGTATAAAGCCATTTATAACTCTGCCCCAAATTACATCACCGATCTTGTCTCTAAATATCACCCAAACCGTACTCTCCGCTCCTTGCAAGACGACCTACTCTCTAGCTCCCTTGTCTCCTCCTCCCATGCTCGTCTCCAGGACTTCTCCAGAGCTTCCCCCATCCTCTGGAACGCTCTACCCCAATTTATCAGACTATCACCTACTCTGCTCACTTTTAGGCAATCTCTGAAAACC